GGAACTGCCAAAGCGCAGGGATTTGCCTGCAAAGTGCCATTCGTGCGCCTTTGTGCGTCTTTGTGCGCGGTCTGAATGGTCCCTACTGGATGGGAGATTTTTGTGTCGTATGAACTTGTCCCAATCCCAAATAAGCAAAACAATATGCTGATTTTTAGTTCGCCCGCATGACGGATGAGGAACGCCGCCGTGTTTGGGAGGAGGAACAAAAGACAAAGAAGGTATCATTTCGGCTGGTCAAAAATGCTTGACTTAAAAGTTGAGTTTACCAGCTAATGAAAAAGTTATTCAGGTAGTAGAGACTGGGCTTAAAGGCCATGTGAAGTGGTATTCCGTTCTTGGCCATTATGGCTTTATCTCACGTTCGGATGGTAAACCGGATATCTTTGTGCATCAGGTAAGAGTTTATTCATACCTACTTATCAGAAACTGCCGCAGCCGTCTTTTATCTAAAGCGCTGCTAGAAAGCATCTGGCAGCAGAGTGTGCGGGATGTGAGTTAGGTTCAGTTACATGATTATACAGAGCGCTATCGCAAAATCACAAACGGAGAAGTTCTATCTGCGCACCTTGGCTGACGAAGAAGAAGTTGAGTTCGACATTGTCGAAGGACGCAAAGGTCCCGAAGCTTCAAATGTCACTGGACCAAACGGTACAAACGTCAAAGGATCCAAGTGAGTTACAAGCTCTTAGAATACATAGAGGGTGGCTGGATGGTTGCGTAGAAGCGGTATTTAGGTATCAGAGAGTTCTCCTGTATCGTTTCCGTCCTAACAGACGTCGTGTCCAGCATGATGAAGACGGTGAGAAAAAGGTTGACGGCGAGAATCAGACCAACGGTCAGACTGAAGAGAAAAAGACCGCCAGAGGACGAAGTGAGTTCTCAATGTAAAGCCTAGATCGGACAGGCTGTCTCAACAACTGTGTCACTCCTACGGCCGCCTCGCTCGGGCCTTGCGTCGAGTTCATGGACGCACCCTCTGGGCAATCACCTGAGCAACGCATTTAGTGCATGTGCCAAATTTTGCCCAGGGTTACGCACGTGGACGGCGCAAGGCTAAGGGAGGACCGCGAGA